AGAGAGAAAGACATGCGGGAGAGAGAGAGTTAAAGAGAGAGAGAGAGAGAAGGAAGCATGACGCAATATCTCGCTTTGACAACGAGGCATAACTTACCGAATTGTTCTGTTCAAAGTTCCGTAACCCGATCAGAACGAGGCTGAACCGGGCGAGGCGTAAGGGAAGAGCCAGTTCAGGGAGTGGGTAATGATGTGTTATGAGGAGGATAAACGCGAGAACGGGATAGAATTGATAAATGAAGTGGGTGGTTAGATTGGGAAGATTATCTGGCGGTTGGTGTCTGGTTTGTGATGTTTGATGATTCTTTTTTTCTCTCTCCTTTTCTGTCTCTTCCTCTCTTTCTCTTTCTCATTCTCCTCTCTCTTTCTCTTTCTCTTCTCTTTCTCTTCTCTTTCTCTTTCTCTTTATCTTCTCTCTCTCTCTCTCTCTCTCCTCTCTCATCTCTCTCTCTCTCTCTCTCTCTCTCTCTCTCTCTCTCTCTCTCTCTCTCTCTCTCTCATCTATCTCTCTTTGTGTTTTTATCTTTCGGTTTATTATTTTTGTCTCTCTAATTTTCCTATCATTTGTTTTGTTTTTTTCTTTACTTGCCCTATCCATATTTTTGTTTTAATTATCATTTTTATCTTTTTTTTTTTTACCTTGTTTCCCTTCTTTCTTTTTTTTCTTTATTTGTCCTATCAATCTCCCTTTTTCTTTATATCCTATTCTTCATCTTTATCTTACTCTCTCTCCATCCCTCGCTCCCTCCCCCTCCCTCCACCTTCACTCTACGCACTCACTCTCCCTCTTTCGCTATCTCCTCCTTCTACTCCTTGTTTTTTCCCCTCCCTCACCCTCGACCTCATCATCCATTCACCTTTTGAATTGCTTTCTCCCTCATTCCTCGCCTGACACTAATCACTTCCCTCGCCTCCCCCCCCCCTCCCCCCGTCTTGCTGTGAGGGGCGGCCGCGTCTCATTAAATAGTGAGGGATTGCCGATCGTGGTATTCTCCTCAAGGATGAAGGAGATACCCCCCCCCCCCCGCGAGAGATAGGTTTCCACCCATTCTTCAACCCTCATGGGAGAGATAGCTCTTTCTCCATCCTCATGAGAGATGGAGCTCCTCCTCCAACACCCATTAGAAATACTTCCTCCCCCCACCCCCCCGCGAGAGATAGGTCTTTCTCACACCCCATTCCTTCAACCCCTCATGGGAGAGATACTCTTTTCTCCACCTTCTCAGAAGAGCTGCTCCTCAGCATAGCTCCTCCAACCCCATGAGAGATATAGTTCCTCCTCCAACCCCCATGAGAAGATATAGTTCCCTCCAACCCCCATGAGAGATATAGCCCTCCCACCCCCATGAGAGATATAGTTCCTCCTCAACCCCCATGAGAGATATAGTTCCTCCTCCAACCCCCATGAGAGATATAGCTCCTCCTCTCCCCCCCATCATATATAGTTCCTCCTCAACCCCATGAGAGATATACTCCTCCCCCATGAGAGAAAGACCCCATTCCTCCTCCAACCCCCAGTCCTTCCTCCAACCCCATGAGAGATATAGCTCCTCCAACCCCCATGAGAGATATAGTTCCTCCTCCAACCCCCATGAGAGATAGCTCCTCCTCCAACCCCCAATGAGAGATATAGCTTCCTCCAACACCCATGAGAGAATACACCCCATGAGAGATATAGTTCCTCCTCCTCCAACCCCCATGAGAGATATAGTTCCCTCCAACCCCATGAGAGATAAGCTCTCCTCCATGAGAGGCTCTCCAACCCCCATGAGAGATATAGTTCCTCCTCCAACCCCCATGAGAGATAAAGCTCCTCCAACCCCCAATGAGAGATATAGCTCCTCCAACCCCCATGAGAGATATAGTTCCTCCTCCAACCCCCATCCAACCCCATGAGAGATATAGCTCCTCCAACCCCCATGAGAATATAGCTCTCCTCCAACCCCATGAGAGATATAGCTCCTCAACCCCCATGAGAAGATATAGTTCCTCCTCCAACCCCCATGAGAGATATAGCGCCTCTCATGAGAGATATAGCTCCTCCAACCCCATGAGAGATATTACCTCCAACCCCCATGAGAGATATAGCTCCTCCTCCCCCATGAGAGATATAGCTCCTCCAACCCCTCCTCCCAACCCCCATGAGAGATATAGTCCTCCTCCAACCCCCATGAGAGATATAGTTCCTCCTCCAACCCCCATGAGAGATATTAGCTCCTCCAACCCCCATGAGAGATATAGCTCCTCCAACCCCCATGAGAGATATAGACCCATGAGAGATATCCTCCTCCAACCCCTGAGAGATATAGTTCCTCCTCCAACCCCCATGAGAGATATAGCTCCTCCAACCCCCATGAGAGATAATAGCTCCTCCTCAACCCCCATGAGAGATATAGCTCCTCCAACCCCCATGAGAGATATAGCTCCTCCTCCAACCCCCATTAGAGATACTTCCTCCTTCACCCTCCACGTGAGAAACCTCTTGCTCCACCTTCCATGAGGTTTGGGGAATTGTGAGTGAGGTTGTATAAGTACCGAAATCTGTGAGGTTGTTATTGTGAATGAGGTTGTTGTGTTGGTTCCGAAATCCATGAGGTTGCTGTTATGAGTGGGGTTGTTGCGCTGGTTCCGAAATCTATGAGGTTGTTATTATGAGTGAGGTTGTTGTATTGACCCTGAAATCTGTGAGGTTGTTTGTAAATCAGAAAAGAAGAAGAAAATAAAAATAAAAGTGGAGTGTGTGAGGTTTAAAGAAAGTGTCAATAAGATTGTTTACATTGTGTGTTAGATGTTGTGGAAGTACATTTAAGATTTCTAAATATTGTAGATATGTCTTCGTTTTTTTGTTTTTCTTTTGGGAGGTTAAAAGGATTTAGTAAAAACGGATATTGTTATAAACTTCGTACACAAAGCCTTTCGCTCTGAGCTAAAACAACACCGAACATTTTCTCTGTTTTTTTTTTCACTCTCTTCTCTCTTCCTTCTTCCTTTCTTCGCTATCACGCTGTTCGTACTTCATTTCCCTGTTCCCCCTCTTCCCTTCTTTCTTTACTTCTCTCTTCTCCCCTCTTCGCTCTCTTCTTCCTTCCTTCTTCCTTTCTTCGCTATCACACTGTTCATTCTTCATTTCCTTTTTCTCCCTCTTCCCTTCTTTCCTTACTTCTCTCTTCTCCCCTCTTCATTCTCTTCTTCCTTCTTCCTTTCTTCGCTATCACGCTGTTCATTCTTCATTTCCCTTTCCCTCTTCCCTTCTTTCTTTACTTCTCTCTCCTCCCCATTCCTTATCCCTTTTCTATATTTCTACGTCTCCTTTCCCCTCTCGGTGTCTCTCCCTTCTCTCTTTCTCATTCGGAACCTCGTTTTTTCCCTCTTTTCTCTCGTTTATTCCACCTTTCCCCTCTCCCCCTTCCTTCTTTACTCGTCCGTCCCCTCATCCCTTTCCCATTTCTTTATTTCAGCTTTCCCCTCTCTGACTTCTCTGTCTCTCTTTCCTTATCTTTATTCAAAACCCCTTTTTCTCCTGTATCATTCTCCATTTTCCCTTATTCCTTTCTTTCTTTGCCCTTCCGTCTTCCCTCTCGGTTTCTCTTTCTCCTCTTTCTCATTCGGAACCTCTTCTCCTCTTTCTCATTTGGAAACTCTTGCTTTCCCCCTTTCCCCCCATTTATTCCCCTTCTTATCTCCTACCTTCTCCCCTATCGGATATTCTCTCTCACCTCTTTCTCATTCGGAACTTCTTACTTTCCCCTTTTTTTCCGATTAATCCTCGTCTCCTTCATCCCCCTCCTTCTCTACCCTTCCACCTCCCCTTTCGGATTCTCTCTTCTTCCTTTTCCTCATTCGGAAACCTCTTACTTTCCCCTTTTTCCCAATTATACCCCCTCTCCTTCATCCCCTTCCTTCTCCCCTCTCGGACAATCTTCTCCTCTTCCTCATTCGGAAACCCCTTACTTTCCCCTCTTTTCCCAATTATTCCCCCTCTCCTTCTTCCCTCTCGGATAATCCCCTCCTCATACGGAAACCCCTTACAATTACTCTTTTTTCCGATTATTCCCCTCTCCTTCATCCCTTCCTTCTCCCTTTCGGATAATCTTCCTCCTCCTCTTTCTCATTCGGAACCTCTTACTTTCCCCTTTTTCCCAATTATTCCCCTCTCCTTCATCCCTTCCTTCTCCCCTCTCGGATTCTCTCTTCCTCATTCGGAACCCTTACTTTCCCCCCTTTTTCCCGATTATTCCCCCTCTCTTTCATCCCCTTCCTTTTCCCCTCTCGGATATTCTTCCTCCTCTTCCTCATTCGGAAACCCCTTACTTTCCCCTCTTTTCCCAATTATTTTTCCTCTCCTTCATCCCCTTCCTTCTCCCCTCTCGGATAATCTTCCTCCTCTTCTTCCTCATTCGGAAACCCCTTACATTCCCCCCTCCCCCCTCCCTACCCTTTTTTCTCCCCTTGGATCCGACTCAAGCAATTACTTCCCCGTCAGGCCAAGGAATTCCTCCTTCCCTTCCCCTCAGACCCTCGCTCTCGTTCCTCGCCCCGCCCACGCCTTCGCCCCGCCCACGTCCTCCCTCCGACGGTCCTAAATACTTGATGGAAAGGAGGGTCGCGCCCTTTATTGCGTCTGGATGCTGTCTTGGCCGAGGAGGGGGAGGGAAGGGGGAGGGAGAGGGAGGGAAAGGGTGGGTGGGAAGGTGGGAAGGTAGGAGGGGGAGGGGGAAGGTTGCGTGGGTGGATGGGTGGTAAGGAGGGAGTGGGAGGAGGATGGGGGGAGGGGGGATGGAAAGGAGGGGGGGAGAGAAGGATTGGTGGGGCTGGGAGGGAAGGTGGGGTAGGAGAGGGAGGAGGATTGGTGGGTGGGAGAGTGGGAGAGGGGAGGGAGGGAGGGGAGAAGGATGGGTGGGTGAGTGGGAGGGAAGGGGTAAAGGGTGGGGGTGGAGAGTGGGTGGGAGGGAGGGAAGGTGGTGAGAGAGAAAGGGGAGAGAGGAGTGGTGGGTGGGTGGGAGGATGGATGGGTAGATGAGTGGGTTGGTGAGTAGGAAGGTGTGATGTGGGGAAAGCTGAATACACGGGAGAGAAAGGGGGAGGGAGGGAAAATTGAAGCTAGGAAGGGAGGGGTAGTGGGAGGGAGGGAAAGAGGGAGGGAAGAAGTTAGAGAAGGATATGTATGTATGAGGGTCGGTAGGGGAAAGGGGTGAGTAAAGAGAGTGGGAAGGAAAGATGGTGTACTTTGCCTTCCTTTTATATTGGCGACCTGTATCTCTCTCAGTTTTCTTTGTTGTTCTGTATATTTTGTAAAGATCTCGCTTTCTCTGGAATTATGTTTATTATTCTCTCTCTCTCTCTCTCTTTCACTCTCTCTCCCTCTCCCCTCCCTACTTCTCCTTCTCTCTCTCCGCTTCCCTCTCCCCACCCCATTTCTCCTTTTTCCTCCCTCCCCATCCCTCTCTCTCCTCTTCCTCCCTCCCCTCCTCTCCCTCACCCTCTCCCACCACCAAAGCGAAATCCCTCAGTCAACACCGCCCACAAACCGCCCACAAGCCAGGCCACAGAACACCTCCACAAGCCGCCCATTCCGTTCCCGGGCGTAAACACACGGGGGCGATTGTTATCCAAATAGAGATTCCATATTTCCGTCTCCCTTCCTCCTCCCCTTCTCTGTATCTCTTCTTCTTTTTCCCTCTCTTCTCTTTGCTTCGCCTCTTCTTCTCTTCTCTTCCTCTTCTCTCTTCTCTTCCCCCTTCCTCTTCTCTTCCCCTTCTCCTCATTCTCTTCCCCTCTCCTTCTCTTCTCCTTCTCCATTCCCCTCTCCGTCTCTTCCTCTCTTCCTCCCTTCCCCTCTCCTCTTCCTTCCCCTCCTCTTCCCCCTCCCCTCTCTTGACGCCAAGGCTTTTGTGTTTGCGATAGGAGTAGGTTAGATTTTGTAAAATTGAAGAGAGAGAGAGAGAGAGAGAGAGAGAGAGAGAGAGAGAGAGAGAGAGAGAGAGAGAGAGAGAGAGAGAGAGAGAGAGATGAGTATGTATGCATGAACATATGTGGAGGAAGAATAAGAATAAGAGAAGAGTAAGAGAAAAAGGAAAAAGAAGAGGAAGAAGAAGAGGGGATGAGAGAGGAAGAAGAAAAAGAATAGGAAGAAGAGAAAGAGTAAGAGGAAGGTGGAGAGGAAAGGGAAGTAGATCAGAGGAAGAAGAAGAAAGAAGAGTAAGAAGAAGAAGAAGAAGAAGAAGAGAAGAAGAAGAAGAAGAAGAAAAGTAAGAAGAGAAGAAGAGTAAGAGGGAGTAAGAGTAAGAAGAAGAAAAGAGAAGAGGAGGCACCCAGTCACCTGAGATCACACGGTATCATAATCTCATCTCCGTTTTTTTTTTTTTTTTACTCTCCGCGTCTGCCTGATGTTCACCCTTCTGTGTCGACCATTTTTTCCTCCTTTTCCTTCCCCTCTCAGAAATTCGTGCCTCGGAGTGCCATGCCTTCTCTCGGTGCCACGGCTCTCTCGGTGCCACGGCTGTCTCGGTGCCACGGCTGTCTCGGTCACGGCTCTCTCGGTGCCAACGGCTCTCGGTGCCACGGCTGTCTCCACGGCTCTCTCTGCCACGGCTCTCGGTGCCACGGCTCTCTCGGTGCCACGGCTCGCGCTGGCACCCGTCGCCCTCGGAGTGTTGATTTTCCTTTTGATCGGAGTGCCAAAATTTGCTTGCTTTTCGATGGCACTTGGAGGTTAATTAACAGTACATGGTGATGATAATATCTATATCTATATATATATATATATATATATATATATTATATATATATATATATATATTATATTTTTTTTTTTTTTTTTTTTTTTTTGGGGGGGTTAAGAATAATAAGACTAGAAAATTAAAATAATCGAAAAATGAAACCCACCCCCTCTTTTTTTTTGGGGGGGGGGCAATATTAGTGAAATAGAGGCAGAAAATAAAACTCAAAAATTCAAAAAATCTAATAATGAAACCCCTTTTTTTCTAATATTAGTGAAATAGAGGTAAAAAATACTGAAAAAATAAGAAAAATCTAACGAGTTTTTTTCTTTTTTTCTTTTTGCAATTTTGGTGAAATCGAGGTAAAATAAGACAAAAAATCTAATAATGAAACTTTTTATTTTTATTATTATTTTTTTTGCAATATTAGTGAAATAGAGGTAGAAATGATAATTAGACATAAAAAAAACATTTTTTGGCAATATTAGTGAAATAGAGACGAAAAATAATAAGACTAAGAAATAAAAAATTACTATTTAAACCTTTTTTTTTTAATATTAGTGAAATAGCGGCCAAAATAAATAAGAAAAAATCTTATTAGAATTAACCACACTACCGATCGAGTCACAAAGCAACACAAACAACATACAAACAACCTCAGACGAATCCTCATTTTTTTTTAGACCAATGACCATCAGAGAAGACGTGGGCGCTGTTCAGACCCGCCCATCATGAGGAATCGGCCTCTGATAGCCTCATTATGCTAATTGAAGAACTTGGC